CATTCAGGTATGTCTCCATCTTAGTCCTAATTAAAACTTCTACCCTATGCTACAGTGGATTGTAACATAAAGCTCAATTAGGAGATATTACAAAAGTCCACATTGTCATGCAGGTCTCTCAGTGATATCACCACTCTAAAACAGAAACAAAGTTGAATTATTATATAGGGAACATGCAAATACTGATGTGGTTTGGTGGCTGCACTAAGAAGTTGGGGAGGGGAAACAAAGACCAAAACACCACATTGGGTGTCAATCTGGGATATTTGTTGGCTTTCCACTGCAAATAAAGAAACAGGAGGCTGATTTATTTTTTTTTTTTGGTCAAAACATGGTGTCACTCTATATTTCTTAAATAGAAGTATATTCCAGGAAGAAAGGACAACTTAATTGCCCTGAAAAGCTTCATATTTTTCAAGACTTCTCACCTTCAAACACTTTTCAGGCAAAATAGTTACACATGGATATAAGGTAAGAAATGGTTTCTTTAAAACAAAAGCTTTGGTTAACAAATAGAAGCTTTCTCTGAACATATAGAGGAATCACTTTCAGTCAGAGGAAAAGAACAAGAAACACATACAGAGGAATGTTACAAAGGTAAATAATTTTATATATGCAAACCTGAGTTTATTGTAGGTCAAGAAGTTATTTTTGGAGATCAAGTTTCCCATCCTTCAAATTTATGCTCAGCTTAAGATACACGAAATAAATTTTCCTTTAATGAATTGTAAATTTGATAATGAACTGAGATCCACAGTCTGTTGTGGGTTTGGCACACTGTACCACCTCTCAGCTTGAATGACCACAAGATGAACCTTAGTGCATGAAAAGGAAAGCCTCTATTCTTCATTCTGAAATGTTGCAAAATAATGTGGAAAACAGGAACTCGCCAAAAAGTACAAAAGAATCTTGTATCCTGTAGCAGCCTGCAGGATGCTGAAAACAGAAGAATGGAGATGTGCACACACACGATTTCCAAATGCAATTCAAAGAGGGAAGAATCAAAGAATGCCAGGACCTCTATTTGAGGGAATGGCCTCCAAATTAACATCAGGTCACAACAGCAAGCAGTGGTATCTACGTGCAGCTTTTCCTAGGTTAAAATTATTAGAAGCATAGCTTTGACTGCTAAGGCAGGGAGAGAGGAGTGCTGCTCCTAGGAAAAAGAGTTCATTCACTTCCCAAACAGGCAAACACTACAGGCTTTTGAAGCTTTTCAAGGAACTACACAAAACAAAGTGTTTTCCAAACAACTCATTTAGAAAGTTTACGGCATAACTTAGTTGAAAGCTGATCCAAGAGATCAGACTATGAGTAAACCAAAAATATTTTGGGTAAGAGCTTTGAGAATATGATTTTCTTAAAACTGAGAGAAATAATCAAGTGGTGCAAATTAAAAGAAATATTTTCTTGGGCCAACTTCCTTTTGGAAGCAAGTTGAGAAATCTACTTGTTCCAAAAAACCAGCCACAGACAAATATTAGGAAGTTTCTTTACACATATAGACGAATTTGATTAGCCAGTCACTGAGGAATGCAAGTGAAAAATCTGAGTTCTGAACCTTAGCCAGTATTTCCTCATGCAGAAAAGCTGTTCATTAAAACAAACAACCAATCTACAAAAACATCCAAACAAAAACCCAGTAAGATGAACACACGAACTGCAGTACACACATCAGTTGCTACTGGCATCACACTATTTGAATTGCTTTAATATTTATGATGAACATGTCCTTTTCTCCAAAATTTGACTGAAAGGTTGTGCATACAGCACTAGAAGTCTGTTTACAAAGTTTAACACAGAAAAACAGGCATTTTGAGGTGTGTGGGTTTTCTTGAAATATTTTTCCATATATAATTTTCCCACTTTTACACATTACCTTCCTGTATTTCTCCTTAAAAGTCTACATTTTAAATAATTCAAAGAATTGAATCTAAATCTCTACTGACACTGTTATAAAAGAAAGTTCTGATAAAATCACTGCAAAGATGCAACAAGAAAAATACACATTTCTATACAATTTTATTTGTACTTCAACTATGTTTTCTGTAAATAACTGTTTCAATTTCTCTGATAAAGTAAAAGGGAGAATAAATTGCTTTAGTCTTCATAGGTAGTAGGAGAAACAGTCCTCTGTAGACTCTCTTAGAATTTAACATGAATAAGAGATCTTCAACATTATGCACTGCCATTTAAGAAGGAAATGAGGACAGAATTAAAATCTCTTTTAAATGGATATAATTAAAAAAAACCAAAGAAAACAATCACTGAACAACTTTACATATTTAGTTCTCAAAGCAGCTTCCATTCCTCATTTAAGCCTTAAGTACCTGCACTTTTTAATCAATGTAGATGTGAACTGGAGCTTGGATGTCTTCCAGGCACATGAAATGTTATAGTCAGAGATTAATAAAACACAGTAGCAGAAAGGAAAATAAAACTCTACATTCTCATATCGCACAATTCAAGTTTATTCCATTCATTCTTGCAACACAAACTTAAAAATACAGTATCATTTAGCATTCTGATGTCTATGAACCATGATAATGAAAAACCCAACTGTGTCAAAACAGCTAACAATGGTGAAAAGAGGAAGTCAAATATCAAAATGCACAGAGCACTGTTTTCTTCTGTCACTGCGTAGAAAGATGATTGTTTATCCATTTACAAAATAATTAAGACAAGTTCATTTTGAAATTTTGCATGCAACACTGCAATTGCTTGACCTAGGACACTCCATTCTTACCAGCCTCTTCTACAAATAATTCAATGTTATGTTAGTGGATAAAGTTCCATTTCACTATCATACTCCTTCTCCCATTTATTCCCCCTTAAGAAAGAGGAGCAGTGGGTCTAAAAATCCAAAATATACTTAAGGTTATTAACTTATTCGGCGCAAATTTCAAAGTAAAAGGTTTAAGAACAGAGTGGATTTCCAAGTATATGCTATTCCAGTCTAATAAAGGTATTTAAATTCTGTTTATAGAATGTAAAATAATTGACAGTTTTCCATCTAGTTACAACCTATTCAAAGATAGAGGCAGCCACCCATTATTTTTTCCACAATATAGTAAACAAAAACAAATAAATGTATAGGCCCAGTTTCTAAACAATTACAAAAGCATAATTTTATTACCTTTTTTTTTTTAAATCCTGGGCAAAATGATCAATCATCTCTTATGTAGTGCAAAAAGCAAAAACATATTTCTTCTTTATGACCCAAACTTTAAATGCCATCTTTTAACTATCTTGAAAGGCAGCTTGGGTATATATTACAGCCAAATTAAACACTTGTCTTGCTGACATTTGCTTACTTTTTTTTTTTCTACTCAACTGAAGTAAGAAAAAATGTGTCCACATAATTGTAGAAAAAAGGGAGGCAAAATTGCCCCAGTGAATCACCGGAAGAGTTAGTACAAAGATGATGTTTCTTTACTATGATAATTCTAATTTATATGAGAGTTGAAGGGAAGAGCAGGAAAGAATATAGAGAAAGAAAAAAAAACCACAACAGAAAACCAAAAAACACTATGGCTAGACAACTTGACACTAATCAACACAAAAACTTGAATAATCAAGTTTTCCACATAAAAACAGATTGCAGTTTTCTAGACTAGTATTTTAATAGCTGAGTATTTAATAGCATAATATGGAGGCAAATTTATGTCAAAGATGGTTACTTTCATAGCTGAATAAAGAGTTAAACTTATACTCTGAGTTCACACTATTACATTGACATGACAATCCAGCACTGATCAGAGATAAAATTAAAGAGTTCTCTTTAAATACTCATTAAAAGCACTGTTTACCAAACATGCTTGTTCTTTTATCAGCAGCTCACCAAATGATTTATCACCGATTTCCAACCCTTTTACTCCTCCTTGCCACCCATTTCCAAGAAGCAAAGAGTAACTGCACTGTACAGTTTATGGCCAGAGTTGATTGTTTCATCCATTGCTTTTCTTACAAGATGTGTACATGTAAATCAGTTCCTGCTCTCATTTTACAGTCTAAATTCAAGGCTTTTTATAGCTGAGACATTCAATCATAATACGCAACATGATTCAAGTAAAACTAAGTCTGTTAAATATGAGTGGTAGTCACCAGTCTACTTCTATATATCCTCTCAATTTCAACAGTGATATCAAAAGAACATCAGCTACTTCTGTTTAAGAATTCAGCATGAGACATTATATACATTTGTTTTCTGTACTGTGTATGTTATCAGAAAGTTTGAAATCTGTATTCCAAAAAAAGAGGAAGATGTATACTTTGTAGTATACACTCTTCTGTTATAAAACCTGTCATTCAGTTCTGGGTGAATGAGCAATCTAATGAAAATTTGCAAGATGAAAGCCAGAAGCTCAGACACTCCTGAGGACCACAAGATGTGACAGGAATCCCTACAACATCATTAAATAACTTCCCATGAATTATCAAGGCTGTCACAGCACTGTAATCTTTACTGGTAATAGGAAATCTTGTTTAAAAGTCAATGGTTAATGTGGTATGGTTGCACCGGGAACTTTCAGAACAAGCTCCATGCCTCAATAAAATATAAGAGGTTCATTCAGCCAACAATGGAACACCAATTCCAAGACACACACAATTAATTTTTTTTCTTCCATTAGTCAGAGCAAGTTAAGATTTCCTAACATCTGAACTTAGAAAGCTTACCCTTATTTTAAAAGCTCAGCAGAAAAGTTTAGGAATGATATTCACCTGATAAGGATATCTAAATAACTACTGTTCATTTTCCACATTTGACTTGATTATCCCTGTGCACCAGTCTGTAGTTTTCACATGTTTTAAGTTTTATGCTGACATGGTGAGTAAAGGAATTCCATCTTACAATCCTTTTGAAAATAACTACGGTGACATTTTGAACTCTCTCAAAAATGGTTGTTTAAAACATCTGTCCTAGAAGAAACACGGGAAAGGAAACCCTCAAATTCAAGCATCCAAAAAGTACCTTGGCAGATATTCTGGAGTGTAACACCACCATGCCTCAACTGATCCTTCCTGGTTTACTCAGGAGTCAGAAAAACATTTGCATGACATCCATTTAGTCAATATAAATGACAGCTCCAATAACTAGCATCAAAAGTCCTCAAAACTGCAACGTATGCTTTAGGCAGAAAAAGAATAAAACTATCACTGAGAGAGAAGAGAGAAAAGCAACCCAGCTACCTACATTACTACACTTCAGATTATGGCAAACACGAAGAGTATGGGACTATTGTCTCCTTCACAATTAGTTTCAGGTACATAGCACAGTACTTCCATCTAAAGGAATCTTTCAACAAAAATCTTAGTACTAACCTAGGTGGTTTACAAGCCAAAAATTCAAGATCATGGTCTGTCTTCCTTCTTCCATTTTCACTAGAAATGGAAAGAGATTGTGCACTGAAAAGAAGTCCTAGAGGGACACTGCTCATAAGAGTTTTCAACCTCCTCCAAACAGATTATCCTCAATACAAGTACCTAACTAGTCTGATTCATAAAGAATTTCCCTCCCCCCAAAGTATTTAGCTGAAGAAGCTGGAAGATGCAAAGAGTGACAGACAGGCAGCAGTGTGAGGCCACAGGAGAGACATATAAGATATTAGTCCATCCGTCACTGAAGAAGAGTTTTGATTGCCTGGTTGTCAGTGGCTTCAAAGGCAGTTAGTCCATCTGGGCCTTTCACAGTCTTATCAGCACCCTGTAAAGACATTGAGAAGGACTGTTAACTCAAAGACAGGCTATATTAGTATTAGGTGTCACAACAGTTACTTACCTTGGACAATTATATTGGTTACATACAGCTTTTCAGCACAGGGCATTGTTTTCATTTAGAAACCAAAAAGGCAAGATTTATGTACAAAATTAATAGGGATGCAGCTACTCTAAGTTTCAAACTTTATACTTTAGACCTTTGAAAAAAAGGTAAAAAAAAAAAAAAAACAAGAAAAAAGAGCCTGTAATTTTTGTCACACAGCAACTTGAAAGACCAACAAATTATCAATTAATCTTGGACAGAAAGAGAAAGATTTTTTTGGTGGTTTGTTTCCAGCAACGACTCTTATGAATGAAAGAATTTAGTGTTACACACTTCTGTGAAAATCTGTTGTGCGACAAGCTTTTTCCCATCCTAAGTTAGGTAGGTAACATCTGGAAGAGCTTACTTACTAACAAATTGTATTTTCTTTCTACATCATAAGACTACAGCCATATAGGACTGTGCTTCTCTCCATTTTGAAAAAAAAAAATAAATCCCTATTGCTACATAGAAAAAAAACCCACAACAAACCAAAACCAAAAAACAACCCCAAAAAATCATTCCAAGTCCAAAACTGATCAAGTTTGTTTGAATGAGCTATGCATATGCCTAAAAGGCAACAAAACAGGACAGGGAAGCAACAGGAAAAAATACAAGAGAAATGCATCAACTAGACAAACTGTAGAACAGTAAGCACAAATACAGTCTCAGGGCCAGAATTATGGAAGAGGAGCAAAAGAAGGGAAGCAAAGAGTGATTAGTCATTGTTTTGAGCACTGTGTAATCATATACACAGAAGTGAAAACCCAGACTAAACTGTAAATAGGGTAGTGAGAGATGAAAGTTATTAGAGGGAGAGATAAAAGTTATTACAGGGCACAGGACTGACTACAGAAATAGAGATGTTTCCTGAAAATAAAATTACATTGCATATCTTCTCAGAAAGAATTATTCTGCAAGTATAATTTAAAAAATATGTGTATCTATTCAATCAAATAACAGGAAAAAATGCTGTGGGTACAGACATGCTTTGTCAAGAGCACATACTGCACAGGTTTGTCTTTAGTTTATGTATAAACCTCTCCTTAGAATAAGTACAAATTTCTTCTCAATTATATTACAAGGAAGGAAGTAAACAGATTAATAGTTACTATTAAGGACACCAGATAGTTTTCTAAGAACATAACAGACCTAGAATTTCCAGAGCTTCTTTACTGATAAAGGATTATATACATAAAACCCCACTAAGCTTAGATATGTAATACCATGCCTGTTCCCAAGACAGCTCTCAGCCCACAAACTTCCCATTGTAACTCTCTTTAACAATCTAATAAGCTGGATCTCATATTATCATCATTTGCTGTCAATGCTACTTTTCACAACATAGAATGTTTCCCTCTTTGAAACCTTTACTCTCTTTACTTATAAATATTCAATCTGGCATTCTAAAAAGATGATGTTACAGTGGTTTCTAAGGCAGCAGTGCTCATCTTGTAGCCCACTGGTCAAACAGATCCTGTCAGCCATTTATCTTCTTTGAAGCCCCTAGAGACCCTCAGTGAAAGACATGAGCGGCACAGACTGTTCTGTTTGGTGGCAGTCTGTCATGGGGCAAGGGGACAGGCTTCTGCTACCGGGGAAAGAGCCTGGGAAAATAAAGTTATCTGGAGAACTCCAGTAAAGAATTCAGGGAGGGATACTTTTAATTGAAGTAACTCCTTTAGGCAGCTCATTTGTTCTACTACCTTTCAGGTAGTGGAACACAGGCATACATTTTGTGCATAAGCAACGAACATATTCTGGTGACAGTAGCAATCATAACAGCTACCTCTCTCCTGCCACTCTGTAACATCCTCAGCCCAAACAGCACACACTGTGCTGCCCTATCACTGTTCCGTTGGGTATGAACGTGATCCAAGAAGTGACTAGTTGATCATTGCAAACACACACCTAGGCTGAAACCACAGAAACTCACTGCTTGTCAAACACTTTTTCCCCCACCCCTCACCTTCTCTCACAAGAGATTTAACAGGTCTTCAACGGTTATAATCTCAGCTATCCTTCGAGAGGAAAGGCAACCACAAAAGTAGTAATGGCTTCTTGCGCAGGTGTTGATTATTTCTGCTGCTTAGATAGCACTCTAGGATTAGAATCCACGTGGAAATCAAAAGGGGTTCAAAGCTGTTCTTTGATATCAAGATCATAAAACCAAAAGGAACCTAAGAGTTGAAGAAAAATGGAACTATGCAGTGGCTCATTTGCCAGTATTCATCTTGCATCAGAGCAATATATCAGCATTTAGGGTATAAAAGATACAACTGTTAACTGAAGTGACTTTAAAGTATAAGTATAAAGAGAACTTTTAGTCCAGATATAGGACTGCTTTCCATCCTCACACACATTTGTACTTCAGAAAAACTACAGACAAGCAAGACCCAAGCTTCTGAAACAGCTTTACTGAATGAGGTAAATGAGGTTCATGATTATCTAAGGAGGACACCATTTATTAAACTTAGTATTAATAAATTAGGAGAACAGCCCCTTGGCTATACAGAAAGATTCCTGCCTGCATTCAATGGAACGAGAAGGAAATAATAAGGTTCAGGTCAAGGGACTTTAATTTTCAGAAGTACAATGCTGCCTGGAAGCAAGTTTAATGAAAAGTTCATAAAAGCACAATGGTTGCAGTGTTCTCTACTTCCTGAAAGTAAAGAGCTATTAACATAAAATGGATTGTGATATGTTCTTTTTTTTAAAAAAAAATACATAAATATATATAAACTCTCTGTCTTCCACAAGGTAATAACAAACAAGAACATTTGCTCTTTTAAGCCACTGGGCAAAGTACAAATGTTAAAACATGCTCTGAAGGGAACAAAATAACTACTAGCGTACAACTGCAATTCAGAAAAAAAGTTGCACAGTGAACAAAGGCCATGCAGAACTGTCATCAAACTCTGTGAAACTGGAATTCAGGGCACTTAATGAAGCTGGAAGAAGACTAGTTTGCACAGCAAGCAGCAAACTTCCAGAAGGAGTTGCCAGATGAAGTTACAGAGGCAGATGTCAGCTCCTTCATAAAGGATATGGATGAATTCATGGAGAACAAATCAACAAACACTTCTTAGAGGGGACAGATGTGTATACCTCTACAATCCCCAGTGTAACAACTATGAATGAGGGCAATAAGTGAGCAGAAATGGCCATACAACTCTTCCCAAAAGGTATCCCTTCTGCCACTGTCAGATGAGAAAAAAAAGAACTAAACTGCCTAACTCAATGCGATATTTCTTAAATTACATTTTTAGTAGGAAGCATAGATCAACTTGCATTATATCTTCTATAAAAAAGTAAAACTATTTTAAAGCTAAGCAAACTGATGAGATCTGTTGCAACATTTGTTTAAAAACCTCATCTTCCATTAGAAGCATTCAGAACAGTTTAATTTACTACAACATGATATTGGTTCCCCCTACACTAAAAATATGTATTTTTATATTACAAAATCAAATACATTATTAAAGAAAAACATGGAACAATCTGAATTTTAGATATCTTTCTGCTTTTTAAACAGATATCCCTTGAAAATGCTATCCCTGAAAAAACTAAAACCAAACTGAAATACAGTGACTGATATTGCTTTAGTTCAGTTCTTAGTACTCAATACTTCATCTGTTATTTTGTTTTGTAGAAGGCTGGTACATAATACAAGCAAAATTAAAACCTGGTATTTCAGAAGACAGTTCAGTTACAACTGCCAAAAGCTACTAAAAATTCTTTTCCTCCCTCAGTAGAATATTTTTGAGTACTATGTTATTTAACATTATTAATAGTACTGAAGAGGCAGAAGTGAAAAAAATACAAGATATGACATTTCTGCTTCACTTTGAGGTCACAACATGCTGCAAAGAATTTTACTGCTTAAAATTACAAAGGCTATTTTAATGTCTCAATTTCCTAGAAAAATATTTTAAGATTAATAAAAAGGATTAACAGTATTTTGATTTCCAGCCTGCCTAGAAGTGTTTATTAGAAAAGCACATCTTAACTCTGACTTGGAGGGTTCACACTACTTCTGGTAGTCATAACAGTAAATTCCCTTGGTGAAAGCAGTAAAATCCATCTTCGTCCACTTGGGAGTCTTTCAGTTTTTGAGAATTAATATGATATTGTATTATTACCTACAGTAGACCAATTCAACTTTTTGGAGGCTGATCTAGCTTTATATAGCAACCTTTTGTTTATCAGACATTAAAATCTTGCACCCAAATGAAAGGTAAATTCTAATATACAGAAAAGTTTTGAGTATAAAACCACACAGTTTTAATCTTTTCCTTCTAAAGTATGTTTCAGAGTTTTATAACAAACTGATGATTTCAGACCAACACTGGAACTTGTCACCCCCTCCGAACCTACAGAGTTTAACTATGTGAACCTTTTAAATGTGCCAACAAAAACTTTGGGTTTAATCTTTAAGTTAAAATTACAACATTATCAATATTTTGGTTTGGTTCATATTAGGTTGGTTTGAATGTGTGCTACGATGAAAAGCATTTAATGAATCTAGTCTTTCAAAGTCACGACAGTGATTACAACCGATCACTTCGATTAGCACAACAGCAGTGCTTGAAAACACACCATAATTCGTAATCTCATTGAAGTTTTGAAACTGTATCTAAGTTTCTTATAGTGTAACAAATTAAACTGAGCATTGTCAATTCCAAAATTAAAACAACTGAACAAGGTATCAGGAAGTCTTCAATGAAATGTTAACTTCAGAAGAAAGTGTGTAACAAAGGCCTTTTGGAAAAACTACCTTAGAAAGAGTTTAATATCCCTAGCTTTAAGTTATATATCTAAATTAGCTGTTTATCAGTAATCCTATGTATGCACTGTAATTACGAGAGCAAAGTCATATAACTATTTCACTTAGATTTAAAAAA